AACGCTGTACACTGGTAAGACACATGAGAGTTCATAATAATTTCAGTTCTTTAGGCAGGCAACGTATGAGCACACACACTGGCCCCCAGAGACAAATACACACACGTGTACATGCACCACATTCTCTGGGAAACTTGATCATGGTCAAGAGTCCCGGGATTCAGAAACTACCTGTCATAATTTACGCTGTTAATGGTACAAATTACGCTTCAAGAAGTGCTCCTCTGTCTTCCCTACATGCGAAGTGCAAACACGTTTCCTAATCAACGTCTCTTCCAGTTATTTGCCCAAACTGAAGGGCACTGCCGTGATTCTGTATTACACCCCATCAACACAACCCGTAATATCAGAGCACAGCTACATTTATCATTTTATTAGACAGTTTGAACAGGAAATGTGCCGGCTCAGGATCCAGGAGGTCTGAGAGTTCCATCCTCTGTCTGGGCTACAGTTTCCTTATCAGAGAATGGGATCTTTGACTGGGAGGCTTCTCTGGTCCCCACCCCCAGTGCTAAGGCTCTGACAATCTGCTGATTTGCCCAGCGGATGTCTAGAGGCCAGTGAATTCCAGTTCCCGTGGCCCAAGGCATTGCGATGGAAGTCCCCTTGCTACAGAAAATGCCACCCCCTGTGGTGCATGCTGTTCCGTTTCTCTAACAGTTACAACAGTAACTGCAGCAACATCATCTCATCCTTACGGCTGCTGACGGGCACGGTGCAAGCACACAGTAAAAACACATCCTCCCGGTTCTGGCAACATGCTCCTTCTTCCACTCATTTGACAAGTATACTTATAATGCGCGTACCATCCCCAATATTCCAAGCCGTGTTCTAAGTCCCATGGGAAAAACAGAGCTGACCCCGACATGCCCTTCCCTTAAATAGGGCACGTCCCCATAAACAGAGCTGGCCCGGACATGCCCTCCCCCTTAAATAGGGCGCGTCCCCACAGTGTGGTTGGTGAGGCACTGTTTGCCTCTGTTGCTCTGGAGGAATCACCAGTAGTGCTCCCGTGACCTCCCTAAAGAGTCCCAACTGGACGGCAACTTAGATGGGTCACCTTACCTTGAACGAAGACCCCACGTCTAAAGCAGGAAGCAGAGGACACGCGATGATGAAGCATGAAAGGGAAAGTTGGTGCTGGGGGTGCAGGAAGGTGGGACACGTCCAGGCCCGGGGACGGGTGGGAACCAAGAACGTGCAGAGCGGAAAGGACACCGTCCAGCAGAGGCAGGGATGGGATGCGGAGGAAGCAGTGCCTGGAGCCTCCAGGTTTGGGCTGGTTTACATCACACAAGTAAACAGTAACGAGCCTCAGGAAGGCATGGACGCCCTCATTCAGTTGGAGGGTGGGGACAAAGCAGTCCCCAGACCAGCGGAGGACGTCACGCGAGCCCTGTGACCCCGCTGAATGGGGGACGACAGAGGCCCATGTGCCTCAGAGGGTGGCTACAAGGAAGTAAAGACTGCAGAGCACTTAGAGGGAAACAATGCCTCCATCACTTCAGAGAGAGGCTTTTATGGGGCGAGTGAGCGTCGGGTGCCTGGAGGTCAAGGGCAGTCAGACGAGAAAGGTGAGGCTGCAGGAAAGGAGAAGTGGCCAAACACAGAAGCTGCTTCTACACGTTTAGATGTCATACAAATGGTCCGTATGATCAGTTTTTCCGGAAATCTTGCATACCATAGGCACCAAATAAGTGTAAATATGACTGAATACAATAATCATAACATACACATCGAAGCCTTGGGATTTCAGACCAGCCCACCTGAGATCCGAGGGGACCACGGCTCAGAAGGGCTGCAGCAGGCGCCCGCTGGGACCCAAGGGTCTCCTGGACCCTGGCTTCCTCTTCGCCACACAGGGGCTTCTCGGACTCTCAGGAGTGTCAAGCCGGACTATTCTGGGGGCTTTTTCCTTTTCTTAGAGGAGACTAATTCCATCGCTCTGCACCCCAGTCTTCCCAGACTTCTGACACTTCGATTTTTGTAACATGCATCTTAGACTCAGTGTGGTGTGGCATTAAATATGTGTGTGATTACCAGGAATTGCAATTAACTTTGCTTTGAAAACTTCCAGCACCCCTTGGGATAATTCGAGGCATGGCAGGGTTTAGGAATCATTTCTCAAGCTCCTCCACTAATTCTGCTGGAAGGTGTGACAGGCATGAGAATGCAGCTAATGGCATTTCACCGCCCTGATCTGGGAGCGCTGCTCTGAAGCTTCACATAAAACCCTGGCACATCTGTGCAGGATCTCATGTGCGTGCGCTCCAAGCTGATGGGGGCTGGGACCGCACAGCTGAGGTGGAAGCAGAGTGGGGAGACGCCAGAGCAAGGTGGGGAAGAGAGGTGGGATGAAAGCGGCTGGGACTTCTCTAGCCTCGGGGCGTAAGGCAGAAAGCTCCCATTTCTCTCCAAAGCTTCCATCCCTTACCCCTGAACTGAACAATTTCACTAAACACACAAATAAGGAGGAGCAGTTAATATCCGCTTTAATAAATAATCTTTGAGCACCTTCAACATGCCAGACGCTGCCTTAGGTACTGGGGTGGAGGGGGCGACTGGGAGAAACGTGAAGGTAAATCAGTCATAATCCTGGTCCCGAAGGGGCCCTCCGCGGCACATGTATAATTCAAGGCAGACGGGCTAAGTCTTAAAAGAGGAAGAGATGTTTATCCCCAGCTGGGATCCATCGGGGAGAACAAGGCATTTCATCTGCATCTTGAAGACAGAGGGGGATTTCAGCTCTGAGAGCAGCGCAGAGAGGAGAGACTTCGCAGACACAAAGAGCAATGCAGAAAGGCAGGGAAGTGGGGAAGCAGGGCGCGTTCCAGGACAGCGACAGGCCGGATTGCAGAGGGGATGCTGGGGAGAGGGGCGGCGCGGGGGAGACATGCAGGGTGGGGCCGGCCACTGCTGCACGCACACACGTACACATGTGCACAGGCACGCGCACAGACACACGCACGCACGCATGCTCACAAGCGTGCACACACTCACACACTCCTGTGCTCCCACACATGCATTCACACTCGCGTGCGTGCTCTCCATCCCCTGCACTCACGGTCACACGCGCACCCTCCTGCTGCGGGAGGAGACCCCTGTCCAGAGCAGCGAGGCTTGCATCCCCCTGGTCAGCACCCAAGAGCCCAGTCCTACAGCTCCAGTTGAGAAAGCAGAAGCTCTTGGGGTATAATAAGGAGATACTTGGTAGAGAGGCACTAAGGTGAGAATTGCAGACCACTCTAACGAGGGTCTTGGACAGGAGGTTAATTCTCAGACGCCAGATGTGCCTCCTTTGTGGACCCCTGAGGAGGAGGCGAACAGAACCCAAGCCTGAAAAGGCCCTGCCCACCCCGCCTTTCTCCCCGCCGCAGGGTCCTCGGACCCCTCCCTGCCTCCCTCACCTCGCGTCTGAATCCGGGATTCGAGGCCCTCGGGGCAGGGAGCAGAGGCCCTACTGGCAGGCACACAAGGGCACCTGGATGTGACCGAGCCCTCTGGGGCCAGGGCTGGGAGGTCCCTGGTGAGGAGACCCCCGGGCGGCAGCCCGTTTCCCTCGACTTCTCCCCCAGCCTGGCTCTATGAGGTCTGCACCTGTCCCTGGACGGGCCCTCAGGGTTATGGTGGCTGATCTTACAAAGTCCTGGACACCTGCACGGAGATGCACCCATGGAAGGAACCGCACGAGTGTCTCAGACTCTCCCCTCGACGCCCGCGAGAAAGAGGCTCAGGTTATACACGCTCACTTCTCCATCCACCCACAACCAGAACATACACACTACACACACTACTGAAATATAAGTGGGTTCAGACAACGAGATCATGAAAAACAGAGAAATATGGCACGGGAGAAATAGAAGCCAGTCTCATGTACAAACACCAAAAGGTTAAACAAAATATTGCTAAACTAAGTGTAGAATATACTGAAAATGTCAAATAAGGTTTATACCAATAATGCAGGGATGGTTCCCATTCAACAATATTATTGTAATTTACCACATTAATATATTAAAGGAGAAAAAATGTATAACCGTCTTAACAAATGCACAAACAAATTGTTTGGTACAATTCCAAACCCATTAGAGACTTTTTTAAAACCCCGTGATTAAAAACAGAGACCTTCCTTAGTGGGGGAAAGGATAGCCACTAATAACCCGGAGCAAACATCACAGTTCACGCCGAAACTTCAAAGTTAGAGGACTTTAGTGCTTGCATGTGTCTTTCTATACAGAACTATCCTTGTACAGGAGGTTCTAGCCGGCTGAATAACAAAAGAAATAAAAAAGATAATTGGAAAGAAGGAAATTGAACTGTCATTATGCAGAGAGGTATGGCTTTCAATACACAAAATCAAAATAATTTCCAGACAGCATTTCAGACCTAGTTGAAGAGTTCAGCAAGGTTGCTGGATGCGAGATCAATGCAGCAAAATCAGTTACACAAGCAACGAACAGAAAATGCGATTTTTAAAAGATACCACTTATTTCTCGGACACTGATTGGGACACAAAAAAGGACCCAGAAGCCAGCTTGCAGAGGGTCCCATGGGCTGAATTTGGAATAATTTGAACAACAAAATGAATAATGACACAGTGGACTGTAATCTTTGGAAGTAAAAAGAATTCATTAATCTATTCCGATACTAAAGTTATGTAAGAGTAGGGAAGAAGGTCTTCAGGGTAGGAGAATGCTGATAACAAGAAAAGAAAGAAATGATCGAACAGAAAATCACTGCTCTGCTTCCAGCACAGATTTAGCAGTGGAAGCTAAAACCACCAGGTGCAAGACTGTGGGGGAACAGGATTTCACGAAGCCTCAGAGAATCACTCCCAGATTACTCGTTAATTCCAACAGGGAAAGATGCCTTTATAATGGAGGAAACTAGCAGCTGGCACCTGAACCGAGTGGGCAAAGCCCCCCACGCCAGTAGTGAGACAAACTGACACCAGGTGGCAGCCTGTGTGACGGACGGGGGCCACGGGTCACCTGGGCACTCACCGGGCAGCGTGAGTCTGCTGTCCAGCCGGCAGCTCAGCGTCTCAGGAGCAGCTCAGCGCGGGGTGTAGTCCTTGATCAGCTCCTAAATCAGACCAGACAGAGAAACTACAGTGAATATCATGACTGGAAAATCGGCAGCCCTTGAATACAGATTACGTATTGGATAATAGCATTAAGGTTAAATTTCCCAAGTGTGATAATTACGTTGTGTTTATGTTTTTGTTCCTAGCTAACGTAAGCTGAAGTGAAGTGCTATGATGTTGGCAAAATGTACATATATATGGGGCGGGGAAGGGAGAGAGAGGGAGAGAAAGCTGGGAGAAAGAGAAGGGGCAGACGTGACAAGATGCTAACAGCTGCTGAACCTGGGTGAAGGCATGTCAGTGTCTGCTGTGTTGTTCTGGTAGCTTTCCTGTAGGCTTTAACTTTTCAAAAATTAGGAAACGAAAAGATGCTATTTAAATAGCAAAAGGAAGAAAGATCCCTAGTAAGAAATGTAATAAAAATTTCAAGGCTCTCAAGGAGCAAATTATGCAGCCTCACTGAAAACCATAAAAAGACGATATAAATGTAAATACGTATTGACATGTATCGACAGACTCTCTTGACTAAATCCCAGCCAGGCCCCTCTAAGCTGGCTTCTCGACTAGCCCTCAACCTGGGCCTATAAAGACCTGGACAAACGCTAACCTAGCCCCTAACAGCTCAAGGCCACTTCCCGGTGATGAGCCTGGGCCTCCTAAAGGGCCTGAGAAAACTCCAAGCTGGTCCACATTCCAGCCGACACTGAAGACGGGGCCCCGAGTCCCGGCCTCTGCAGGAGGGCAGAAGCCCACCGCAATGAGCACCAGCTGGCAACCCCAGTAGGCCTCACACGGACCACCTTCCTGCAGGAGTCACTCCCCGACGCCCCTGAGCTCCCACTCACCCCTCCTCACTCCCCAGCCCCTGCAGCACGCACAGAAGCGGGGTCCCCCAGTAACAACCTGACACCCCAAACAGTCCAGCGCAGCTCTGCTCAACAATACCCATGAATCTCAGCAGCAAAAAGTTCAGTGGAAAAAAGCAAGTCCACGATGCACTCGCTCAGAATCATTCATTTTATTCGTGGATCAAGTTCAGCAAAACTAAACAACTGAAAATTTGAAGACTGTTACCCTTCGAAGAAAAGGCAGGAACTGTGTAACACAAAACTTAGAAGATGGATTACCTGTCCCCTGAGGTAGAGGGATGCAGGGTAAATCGAGTCCTTCAACGTTCAGGTAAATTCGTGGCGGGTACAGTTTATTCTTTAAACTGTACGTCTAAGTTATATGCACTTGTGTATGTAAAGCACATTTCATAATAATTCTTAAGGGAGGCTGCCCAGTGGTCTTACGGTCGGGTGGTCAGGGGAGGCTCCAGGTCCGCAGGGGCTGCAGGTGTGATGTTGGATGCAGTGGCCTGAAAGGTGAGGCAGTGCCCATCAGAAGGCCTGCAGCAGGTACCACAGCAAATAGCAGGTGTGTTACTATTATTATTTATGTCTTAAAAATGAACAAGCGCTGCACAGAGCCATCACCTGACCTGCCTACGAGCCAGCCCTCTTAAATCCTGGGCCTCCCTGCCTCTCCTGTTAGATGTTCCCAGTGGGCAAGACAAGGAACTAAGAACACTTAAAACACACACACACACACACACACACACACACACACACACACACTGAGAATCTACCAAAGGATGAATGCACCAAAGCAGAATCACATCCAGTCCACACAGCCCAGAGCGACTTCCTAGCCCTGCCAATCCCCACTCGACACCCTAACCTCAGAGCGCCCACGTCAGACCTGTGAGAGGGTGCAGCAGGCTGAGTGTGCCCGCAGAATAGTAGGTCCTAATCCCCGGTGCTGTGAATGTGGCCTTACACGGAAAAAGGGGTTTTGCAGGTGTGGTTAAGATAAGGATCTCGAGATGGGAGAGCAGCCTGGGTTGCCCAGGTAGGTGAGCATTGAAGGGAATCACAGGTGTCCCTCTGGGAGAGGCAGAGGGCCATCTGACACACAGAGAAGGTGATGTAAAGACAGAGCAGGGGGAGGTGTGAAGATGCTGGCCTTGAAGATGGAGCTGAGAAGTGGAGCCCCATCTGCAGCCTCCGTGGGAAGTGCAGCCCTGCCAGACCCAGGGTCTCAGACTCCTGGCCTCCAAAATTGTGAGAGAGTAAACCTCTGCTGTTTTGAGCCACCCAGTGTGTGGTACTCTGTCGCGCTGGCCCCAGGACACTGACATGGAAGGCGAGATGGAGACTTGGAGAGGCCGATTCCCCTTCAGTGTGGACCAGCCCACCTGAAGAACATGGAGCTGGGGGCTTCGACCTCTCCCCCGGGCAGACGTGCTTGTTCCTTACACAAGTGAGACCAGAGGACTTCTCAGCATGGCTCAGAAGTGGGGAGCTGGGCTGGGAGGCCAGGCTGCAGACTGGACCGAAGGAAGGAAGAAAAAGAATAGGGAGCTCCGAGTGCAGGCCGGTGGACACTGGGCTCACAGACCACGCGCCCCCCAGGAGATGCCGGCTGCTCCGGGGAGAGTGCGGAGGTCAGGTCAGGAAGGATGTGGCGGCAGCCATACGTATGCTTTTTAAGTTAACGGACTTCATTTTTAGATCAGTTTTGGGTCGAAGGGGCAAGAGGTCCTGTAACGCAGGGACCACTCCCCCGCTGCATACCTCCCAGGTTTCACATGGGCATGGAGGGCGCTGTGCCACGTATGGGTGACGGCGAGGACCCGGCATCTGGGAAGGGACGGCACTGGAAGGAACAGGCGTGATGATTTGGGCCCAGGTGGTGGACAGGCTGCATCTGGACAGTGGGTTTGCGGTCGGAGCACCTTCCTCACAGGCCAGCCCCCCAACACAGAATGACAGAACTTCACTTTTCTTGTCTTCAGTTTAACTGTTTAAGCTCTGTTTTGAACCTTTCACTTCCTCTTGCCTTTCACTTCCTCTTCCTGGGTCACTACATCACGACTCGTGGCACTGGGCTGGGCCAGGCTATTTGGCCCTGCACTGCCCTTCCTCCCAGGCCTTCCCTGGGGCGACCCCACCCCGGCCCCGGTGACTCCAGGGCCGTCTCTGCAGCTTCGAAGACCGAGTGAGGACAGGAAAGCCTGGCAACCGCCGTGTTCTCTCCGGTGCGCCGCCCCCTCCAGAGGAGCTGCTCGAGATCGGATGCAGGGTCTCCCCGCCTTCTCTGAAGACCACCTCCCCCCCCCCAAATTTTCTCTCTTCCGTCTAACCTCCCAAGCCTTGGTACATCTCTTTCCATCCTGGGATAAAGCCTCATTCCCCCTACTGTTTGTGCCCCAAATTCTCAATTTCCTCTGCCCACTCGAGGTTTATCCATGGGGGAGGGGAAAAAGCCAGAAGAATCATGCCATGCCCGCCTTCCATCCTGGGGTGTCCCCGCACCCCGAGGTCAGACCAGACAATGGCTTGAAGGAGAGGACGGGGTGGAGAGGGACCACAGGGAAAACGCGACAGACTGACAACCCCGTGGTGATGGGGGAGGCCTGGCTCCTACTTAGGTCCATTCTAGGGGCGGGGTTAGGCCTGGTTGCCTCACCACGGGCTTCGGGATGTGGATAAAGATGCCCAGAACCACTTCCTATGTGGCACAAGGAGACCCATGGCAGGGTGCCGTCTGGACTCCAGCAAACACGCGTGAAAGGGACGGGGGACGGGGAGCTCCCAAGAGCCCCGGGTTCGCAGGGAGCGCAGGGACCGTGCTGTCCGTAGAAGGGGCCAGGAGCCACACTGCACAGGTGCAGGAGTCACTGGGAGGCGCGAGTGCGAAGGTCACTGGAGAAAAGAGCGTTTAGGGACACTGGGCTCCACAAACCCGTGACATCAGGTGGCTGGGTCCTTCTATATCTGACCCACTTCGCTCAGCAGGACAGCCCCGGGCCCAGCCAGGTGGCGGCCAAGGGCGTCTGCGCCTCCTTTACGGCGGAGTAGCGCTCCACTGCGCATGCGTGCCTCATCCTCATTCCCACTCCTCCGCCCGCGCCCGCGGCGCTTCCAGGTCCTGGCTGCCGCCAACAGTGCTGCGCTGAGCCCTGGGGTGCGTGTGTCCTTTCAAACCATGTTTTTCTCCAGATACATGCTTATATGCCTGTATGTGGAATCTTAAAAAAGAATGACACAAACGAAATTATTTACAAAACAGAAACAGACTCATGGACTTAGAGAACGAACTTACGGTTACCGGTGGGAAGGGTGGGTGGTACGGATAAATTGGGAGTTTGGATTGACACGCACACACTGCTATATTTAAAATAGATAACCAGGGCTTCCCTGCTGCCGCAGTGGTTAAGAATCTGCCTGCCAACGCAGAGGACACGGGTTCGAGCCCTGGTCCAAGAAGACCCCACATGCCGCGGAGCAACTGAGCCCGTGGGCAACAGCTGCTGAGCCTGCGCGCTAGAGCCCGCGAGCCACAACTACTGAGACCGTGAGCCTAGAGCCCGTGCTCCGCAACAAGAGAGGCCACGGCAATGAGAAGCCCGCACACTGCAAAGAAGAGTAGCCCCCACTGGCCGCAACTAGAGAAAGCTGTGCGCAGCAACGAAGACCCAACACAGCCAAAAATAAAATAAATAAGTTTTAAAAAAAAACAAAAATGTTAACCAACAAGGACCTACTGTATAGCACAGGGAAGTCTGCTCAATACTCTGTAGTAACCTAAATGAATTCTCAAACCTAAAAGAATTTGAAAAAGAATAGACACATATATGTATATATATGTACATGTATAACTGAATCACTTTGCTGTACACCTGAAACTAACACTACATTGCTAATCAAATATACTCCGATATAAAAGTTAAATATTTTTTAATTTTAAAAAAAGTTTTTAGAAAGAAACACCAGGTTGAGAGGGACAGGAGGAGGGTGGCCTTGAAGATGGAGACGGGCCCAGAGGAGCTGGGTTGTGCTCCCCCATCGGGATACCTGGTGAATTTTAAGGCCACAGGAAAGGATGAGGGAGGTGAGGAAAGAGAAATGATTTCGGGGGTAATCAACGGAGGAAGGAGGCTGAGAGCTGACAG